CTTCTGCCTTTAAGGTATTTTCCTTAGATCACAAGCTAAATACGAACAAAAGAAAATACTTAATCTGTTCATTTTTTCAGAATTTCAAATGACACTAATATTCCTTACTTTCTACTTCATAGATTTGGACCCTACTTTAATGCTCAGTGGTTACCAATTTCAATATAAGGTAGTAAAGTAAGTAATTTACAATCCACATTAAATAAATGAATTTGCAAGGCACCAAATAGACTTTTAGGCAACTCTGGGAAAACAAGACTTTTCTGCCATGCACTAAACCTACATTTTGAAAAGCTTAAGTTGTGAGACAGAAAGTATGAAATAATAGTACAAGTTGAAGAGGGCTTGTTACAAAAGACTTCAACTTTTCTCAAGAGGGAGGATGAGTTTTCAAGTATTATTCATTCACTCAATAAGCAAATATAAGTCCAATATGTGCGCTTTATAATGCAGAGTAAGCGATGACACTAAAAGTTAGTACTGCAGAGATAGGGGCATTCTAAAATTCAGTATATTATTCTTTAACCATGAGATCCACAAATCCTACTGAAACAAAACAAACAAAAGAGAAAGATGACATTTTGAAGTATTACTACCAGCTACAGAGAAAAAAAACTTCCTGTTGCCTCCCTATTCCTGTAGTTAAGACTGTCTCTCATCAGCTTATCAACTACATAAATTTCTTAAATGTATTCTCATTAGAGGACGAACTCTATGGTATGAAGAGTCAAATTTTTTTTTATTGAAGTACAGTTGATTAACAATGTTGTGTTCATTTCTGTTGTACAGCACAGTGATTCATTTATACATATACATATATTCCTTTTCATATTCTTTTCCACCATAGGCATTACAAGGTATTGAATATAGTTCCCTGTGCTATACAGCAGGACCATGTAGAGTTGATATTTTGAAGGTGCTCATCTCTATCTTTGCTTTTGCCTAATCCCCCAAAATATTTTAAATGAGATAAGGAATCATTTCAAAATAAAAATTATAATCAAACCATAACTTCAAAAATATGCATACCGTTTGCATCCGTGGGGCACAGGCCCTGCTCACCACACACAAAAGTTCCTGGACACCTTGATAACTAAGGCCAGTCATCTTCATAAGCTCCAGTGGAGAAAGACATAGAAAGTCCTAAGATATAAAGAGAATGTTTTAAACATATATGTGCAACAAAGATCCTGGAATTAAAAGGAAACTTTCAGTCATTGTCCATATGTAAATAATAGCATAATTTATTGCAGATCAAAGATTATATGTTTCTTATAGTATTTTCCCCCAAATGTGCCTTAACTAAAAGATATAATGACATAATCTAATCTTCTAATTACCTAACTTAGTTAGCGTAAACCAAAGGACACACCAGGTAACATCACCTAGCAGAATCCAACCCAGGTGTATATGTGCATTGTACTTGTGCCTAAAAGAGTCTGGACACAAGCAGATGCCCAGAAAGGATCAGGCTGAAATGAGTTTCTTTTGAAACGAGTTTCTTCCAAAGCTATGAGACCATTCAGAGGAAGTATGTAACAACTGAGAGAGAATAAAACTCGCTATGATTGAAATGTTAAATTTCATACTTTTAAGAGTATTTCAAAGTGTGAACATAAGGATTATTAAATGTATAACAGAGGAAGCAAAGATACCATCAACACACAAAGCAATTTTTAAATACAAAACTGTAGCATGCTCTGAAGGTCTGTCTAAGTAAGGATTGAATCCTAACATAAAACCTTAAATCTTATTTAACCTCTTAAGAGGGATTTTACTTCACTCTTGTGCTTAAAAATGCAACACCTGCTTTATACATTTTCTTAAATCCATTGATAGAAAAATAATCCTATTAATTATTCTTGCTTTCAAGAGAAATTGTCATATTGAACACTGTCTCCTTTGAGTTATAGTTCTCATGTATCTATAAAATTTCTTTAAAGGGGACAAAACTTCTCTAGAATCTCAAATAAAAACCTCTCTAGAATCTCAAATAAGTAGCACAGGTGCACTTCACCTTCTGCCTTGAGCATTCTCCCCACCCTCCCCCCACCCGAAATGCAACAATCTTGAATCTGGATAAATGAAATCACATTTGGAAATACAACATAAGCGGCTTGTTATTTAAAATTAAAAGCACCATCATTCATCTTTTTTTTTTTTGGTAAACCAAATTTTCATATTCCAGGTGAAATTAAGAGTTATTAAGGTACCCTTAAAATTATTTTGTACTTAAAATTTCTCACTGAGAAAAATTAAATAAATTTTACCTGACAGGTAACAATCTGATGTCTGTTCAGACGATCACACAGCTCTTGTGATAAACCCACTCGTCTCAGTTTCTTGCTACCCATACCTTCAGCTGCAGTAAGAAAAAGAACCTTGAAAAAACATCAGAAAATAGCATAAGCAATGGTAGATGGAGTATCCAGAACACTCCACAAAATAAAAAATTCTCCAAGCATCTCTGTATACAAAATGAGATGTATAGTATTTAAAATACTACTGATAAAATAAAGGAAGGCCGCAGAATCTTTCTAAATATTTTAAATAGGAGAGACAACTGTTTGTCAAACATGCACACACAGAAACAAGACAATATAAGAATGTGCACTTCACATAATTCTTTAATACTTATTACATGGATATAATAACACTGTTTCACATCTGTATAGCATCTTAAGCTTTTCAATGCATTTATAAACTTTATTTGGATATGTAATTAACCTTCAGGGCATATTACCAAATAGCACTCTCAGAAAGTCTTTACCTTCATTGCACTGTAACAATAATAAATTTATTGACCACCTACTATATACCAGGCACTGTTCCAAAACTTTACACAAATTATCATATTCAAGCTTCTCAATAGCCCTATAAGGAGAGCTGATTACTGATTCCATTTTTACATAAGCAAAAAGTAAAGCCTGGAAAGGTTAGCTATTCCATTGTTACCAGAAAAAGATCTATAATCTGGACCCTGAAGCCTGACTCTGAGGCCAATCCTCTCAACCGTTACACCCTACTACAAGTCCATAATCATATTTAGACTCTCATTTTTCTATGAGTCAGACACCTTCTGAATCAAAAGAGATTTTATTATTTCAGGTGTTATTTGCAAATTGAAATTTTTTTATTGTACTATCTGCTCACATTTCTACATGCAATTAAACTTCACTCTTGTTGAAATCTACAAGGGCTAAAGGACGCTCATGAAATATTTGCCTGCAGAGTTAGAATCACTGTGATTCCCACAATAATGCACACAAAGGAGAAGCTGTGTGTCTCATTCAGATGGCAAATATACAATAGAAACAGGAACTCTTCACTGTTCCAAGGGATAAAACAATACAATTATCAGAAAAAAGAGTAACATTTTGGGAACAAAAATGTATACTAAGAACGTATTTATTTCCAGTACCATAGCCCAAATGTCTACTTAACATCTATATTCTCTGATCAGGTGAACACTCCCTCCCTCTCTCTCACACATGCACACACACCTCTCCCATAAACACAAAATGCATCCCTCTCATTTCTCTCAAAGGGAATTTGCCAGTATTGATTTCTGTTTCCCAAATAGAAATGTTACCAAGTGACATCTGACGTATCATTACCTAGTGTCTTTACCAATCAGGCAGCTCTGTGCAAAGACATCACTTAGACTGAAAAATCCAATCAGAAAGGAGAACTGTAAAACCCAAACTACCTGGACTTTAACAACGACCAACTCTGCTGTCTCTGCCTTATTAGAGCCGCTCCGGTCACTTGCCTAGACTATTATATGCAGATTCTGGTCACTCCCTGCTCCGCACCCCCACCTCCAATCCATTCATTTGTTCCTTCTGCAGATGCTTCTTAAGCACACACTCTGCTGAGGTCTGGGGTACCGAATCATTTAAGTATATTTCCTCTCCTTTGGGAACTCACAGTAAAAGATGAAGAGATTCACACAGAAATAATTACAGTCATGCAGTAAGAATTGTCGCTGGAATTTAAAGTGCTATGGAAGCAGAGAGGAAGAAGCACCAAACTGACCCGCAAGTCACAATCCTGTCAGAGGGAGCTTCCTAAAAATGTGCTCCAATCCTGTCACTCTCAGCCTTTAAAACTGCCCTTTGGAACATGAGACCACAAGGTAAATTCCACACTTCCTATGATGGACTAAAGACTCTTCATAAACTGGTCCCTCACTTCCCTCTCATTCATGTATCAGATTGCAAGGCCCAGATCCTGGCCTTTCTGGCAAAGTCACCTGCCTCCCAGTGGTTTCTGCATCTGAAAAACAAGTGTACCTCAAATATCTACTTCATAGGAATGCAATGAAGGTTAAAGGATGTGGATGTTGCCCGGCACACAGAGCTCAAGGTTAACAATTATCAATTCATTGAGCAAAACATCATTTGCTGCCTCGCATGACCTGCTCTCCAGCCATAACACTGGTAGTTTACGCAGGTGCCAACCTGCCTCCCTGACTTTCCTCCAAAGACTTCCCATAATTTAGTCTCTTCCTCACCAATGTTCTCATCACACTGCATACACATCTGTTCCATAATCTTATTAACATATCGTTATGGCTTGCTCCTTTGTTTCTTCTGGGAAACAGTAAATTCCTGCTTTGCATGTGTGTGTGTGCACGCGCATGTTAACGAGAGGGTGAGGGAAGATACTCAACCCTGGAAACTGAATCTTCTCCTCACCAAGAAAAGAAAAATCCTCATGTTAGATGGTCAATGAAAACTGTGATTTAACAATAATAGCTAATACTTCTTGAGCCCTTATTACACCACTGTTCTAAGAGCTTTTGGATGTTTTGCTCCATTTTACAGATTAAGAATACTGAGGCACTGAGTTGAAAAACTTGAGTAAAGCTCAACAGCTAACACAGAGTGGGGCTCCGCATTCTTATTCAGGGATCTGACTCCATATTCCATACTGTTAACATACCTCTTCTTCAACACCACCTGAAAAGGACCAGACCCTAAACTTCCCTTAATGGTGGGTTCCCCTGCCTAGACCTCAAACTGCCTGCAAGTGGGAAGGTGGGTGGACATCAAAAGACGAAAACATCAACCCCAGAATCCCCTAAAAAGGACTTCTCCCAACAAGGTGCAGCTTCCAAGCACATCCCCCACAAAAGAAGGCCAGACGCCCTCAGATCCGCGGCGGGGCTCAAGTCATCCCTACGGACCTAACGGGGCGTGCTCTGCACCCAAGAATGGCTCTCCGCTCCCCCGATATCAACACCCCGGGCCCAAAAAGGGAGCAGGAAATAATGAGCGCACCCCACTTCCCCAAACAGCCCCCCACATGAAACTTTCCAGTACCGGGTCTGCAGCTTCCAACTTTCAAAGTTTCCCCTACCCTTCAAACAGTTCCCCGCGGGAAGCGACGCAAAGCAACAACCGAAGCGCTGGTTGAGTTGTTACCCCGGCGAAATCTCCAATCAAAAGTAGACACAGGCCCAGGTCGGCTCCGCTGCTTCCTGGGAATTGTAGTTCACACTCTAATAAAGTCTGAGTCCCAATTTCTCAATATAATGATTCTCAAAATCCAAGGGAGGAACAATAGCAAGGAGACTATGAAGCCAGAAAAAACCTTGGTTAAGTCGTTTAGGAAACGCTGAATGAAATTACTCAAACCAAAAACACACAATGGGGAAACATGAGCGTCTACAGTTGAAGAAGAAATTGAAGGAACCAAATAGAAGATTCAGTGTAGAAACAACCGTGATGAGGAAACCCGGTAAACCGTTACCTTAAGAATTGGTTTCTGATTATTATATTTGAGAAAATTTTTTGCTCATTCTTTGCTCTCATCTCCCTGTTCATACCTATATCTTATAATGTAGCTCACTGCATCCTAATTATTGACCTGCACCCCTCACTAGACTGTGAGCTCCTTGAGGGCAGAGATGCATCTTTATTCAGCTTTTAAAGTAGGACCAACCTAGAACATAGTTCGATTAACGGCTGTCGAGTAAATGAGCAAATAAATGAATTAAGCACAAGAAAATGGGAACTCAGGATTTAGGGTTCCGGGATTATGAGTACAAATGGACGGAATGATAATGGAGGCGGACCCAGGTCTTCTTGCTCTGGGTATGCCCTGGGCGTGGCAAAGCACTGTCACTGGTTGGCGCTTAATAAACGCTGACTTCAAACTAGAGAGAAAAGAGAATGGAAGGAAAAAAGTCAAACTACACAGCTATTCCTGCCACTTGGTTCAGAACGGAAGGTACCGGGCAGAGGAGCTGTCTAAACTGTGAGGGATGATCCTAAGCCAGGTAGCTAAAACCTCTTTCCGAGCTTCGTAGCTTCCTCTGGTCTAAAAGGATGGCGTCACGTGTCCCAAATATGGCGCTTTATTTGCATCTTCCCGCCATTGACCAATGAGAGTAGTTTCAGTCAGTCATCATCCCCCCCCTCCTCCCTGCCCCGCCCCCGCCCCCCCTCCCCCGCAGCCTCCCAGATGGGTTTTGTCACCTGACTCTGCTCAAACATGGCTGCGCTGGAAGCTGTATTGCTTTGGGCGCCGGGAGCAGGTAAGTGTAAGGAGCCCCAGAGAAAGCGGGGGCGTTCTCCACGACGCCTGTGGGGAGCGTCCTGTCGCCCCAATCCCCACCGCCCTCCAGTTCTGACACAGATTCCTCTCCTGATCTTCAACCCTTTGACTTAAAAAAAGGGCTCAAACTAGGGAGGTTCCTGATGACTTCTTATCCTTAAGGAGGCGACCACCTGGGGATTTGAAGCCGACTGGTCGTAAAGTTCTGGAGGAAATACGGAAGTGGAGTTTTGGGTCTGCGCCGTAGGCTGTGACGATTAATATTAATTAAATACTGGTAGCGCATAGAGAGATGGGATCCACCCCTTGGGGAAAGTTGGAACTTCTCAAAAAGAGATAGTAACATGTCAAATCAAATTTACCACGATAATTAGAAAAATAAGCCCCGCCTTTCCCAGTGCGGCTAGTAGTGGCTGGTTTGTCTAAATATAGTTGCTTCCTTTTCTTCCCTTTCGGGTGTGTGTTCTTTCTAGTAGGTACTCCACGGATGAGAAGACTGACAATGTGTTTTGCGTAATTCATCTCTTTCTATCTCCCTGCACTCTGTGCTGGGAAAATGCATCACCCATTTGGAAACGAGGAAACTGCTTCCTACAAGCAGCTTTTTGGATTTTTCTGTGAGTGCCTGCGGAGAGGAGAATGGGAGCTGGCACAGGCATGTGTACCTCAGCTGCACGAGGCAGAAGGGGATATCCCAACGAAGGTGGAAAATATACTTCAGGCGCTGGTCATATGTCCAAATCAGCTGAGGTAAGGGATCTCTCTTCCCGCCAGGCAGTAACAGGGCGGGAAATAAAAGGTTCGGTATTTGAGCTCTTGTCCATGTGCCTCATTCAACTACTCTCTGAAGAATTAACAAAGGCAGAGTGTATTACACATGTTCTGAAATTTTACCTCCATAATATATGACTATTTATTACTTCATGAGCTTGACTGGGAATTATCACCTGGAACTGCATTTAAACTTGGCCAGCAAATTATACCCGAAACCACCATTTCTTGTTTATTATCATTAAAGTAAATGCTGTAACTACATTGAAAAGCATTTTCTTTGCTTCCAAAAGAGCAAACCCTGCTCCCTTCTTGCTTGTGATATTGAAGCTATTGTTGTAGCTTTAACAAAGGACTGGAAGTGAATTCACTTAAAGCTTTTTATTTTGAAATAGTCTTAGACTCATAAGAAGTGCAAAAGTAATACAAAGAGTACCCTTTCCTCAGCTTCCCCTAGTAGTGACATTTTAAATAGCTATAGTGCAATATCAAACCAGGAAATTGATGTTGATACGTTACTGTTACTACAGACATTATTCAAGTTTCACCATTTTTTTTAATCTGCATTCATTTTTCATGAGTGTAGTTCTATGCAACTTTATCCATTTTTAGGTTCATATAACTACCATTATAATCAAGATACAGAAAGCTTTCATCACCACGAAAGAATTCCCTCACTTCCTGGGAATACCTCTTTATACTTTGGTCCCTCCTTGTCCCCTGGCAACCAATGTTCTCTATGTAAATTTTGAATGAAGTTCTTCCTGGCAGTGCTATTAACAATTAGTGGTATAGGAGTTAACCGTTAAGTCACTTTTCTTTACTCTGGAAGTTATGTTATACTACTTAAGTACTGTATTTGCACATATAAAATGGAGATTTAGGTGATTTCTTTTCTTCCTTTCTTTTTATCCCTTAAGTTTGGGTTCCAGACAGTTACTGTCTAAATTACTAACTTCATAGAAAGGCTATTAATCCTGTTACCCTGTTTTTAGCATAGAGTTAAAAATAAATTTTTATGAAGTTCCTTGTTTTCTTTAAGACTATTTGATTCAGTTTCTGTTTTCAAAAACATACTTTAGATAGCTTTGCTTTTATAGTTTTCTGGATGATATTATTTTGTTTAAAAATAATAAAGACTAAATAGGGAGATGGAGGTAGAATTGAGACCTTTTTTTTTCTTTTTTAAGTGAAAGCTACTAGTTCTGTTCTGGTTCTAGTTTATTGATCTGTCATATACATTCAAAAATTTCTCATTAGGGCTATGTCTTCCCTATTCAGGTTTAAAACAGACTGAGCAGTGAAATCTAAATCTTGGATTACAAAAGAGAAAAAGGTCAATAGAAACAAACCCTTTGTTTAGAAATTTTTTCTTTTTACATTTTTCAGATGTGGACAGGACATCAACCCTCAAAGATTAGCCTGGGTCTGGCTTCTTGTACTGGAAAAATGGCTGGCCCTGGAAAAGGTAAATAGTTTTATATTTCAGATTTTCTCTTGAGGCCAGGACTGAAAAGACTTTGGAAGGAATTATGAAATTTCCCTTCTGTTACTTCCTGTATTTTGAGGTTTGTCATACTCCTCTCTCAGTATTGGCAGTGAGAATGGCTTAAATGTTTATCACCGTCTCCTTACCTAAATTCATTTATCAATTCACTAACCTACATTGGCATGTAATACCATCTGAGGTGATACCATTTTGATAAATACCACTGTGAGTCTTGTGCCTGAACAGAACTTTGCAGAACTCAATGAAAATGACAAGATGGTGAGTAAAGTTTAATCCTCATATACTCAAGTAATGGAGAATGGGCTGAGCTGAAACTTGGTAGTTCATTCAAAAATCTTATTTTAAGTAGTCCAGTGCAATGAAATCTTACAGATTTAAATCTCATTAATAATTTAATAACTCATGTGAATTGAACTAAAAGTTACCAAATATGAAAACAAAGTGAGTGAATTAATCGTGAAAGAAAACTTAAGGAAATGATTGGGTTTGGATTTTTTTTTTAAGAAAAATTGGCATTCAAACTGTTTTAGAAGTATGTGTCAATTATCAGAAATTGATGCCCATTAAAGAAATTTCAATGAAGCAATTTTATATTAAACTTCAGACTTAAAGAGTTAAGTGAGGAACCTCTGACTCAGAAGAGAGATGACTGGCCCAAGTTAGTTAACCATAAAGTTAGTTGGCAGAAATGGATCTGGAACCAACGTCTTCTAACTTCTATCCTCAGTCCACTACTTTTTCCACCTCAACATTAACCTACATGGACTTTAAAAAGTAAGGAACCATAAATTCTATTTTGTAAATGTCTGTATTTTAGTCTAAGTTTCTTCTTCACTCCTCTCAGTCATCAGAATGAATTTTGTCTTTAGTTCTGGTCTTGCCTAACATTTACCCCTATTCACATAGTTGTCAAAAAGTAACAGAAATTACTAATCTAAATGCACCTCTTATCCAGGCTTTTGGTAATGGTGCAGCAAAGCAAAATGAGATCTGCAGGAGAGGGAAGAAAGGGAAGCAAAATTGAAAAATAAACAACCCAAGGCGATTAAGAGCTGGCTATAGGTTCAAATCTGGAAGAGAAATCTTCAGCCAAAATACCCGATAGTATTTTCAGAGAAAAGGAGAAATGTCTTAGAGTTAGGTACTGACTAAAGATCTTTTTAGTACAAACATGAAATTTGTCAAACCAGTTGAACTTTTGCCTCAGAAGAGCGTATTTGTTATTTCATGGCTGATTGGTGATTGCTTATTTTCCAGACAGTTGCTCAACCAGATCAGGCGGTGGATTTCACTTCCCTGACTCCTTTTCACAGACTGAGTTGTTTTTTCCCAGCATTGAAGACCATTTGGTCCTTGAAGCTCCACTGCCTCAGTTATTTAAACAGTTGTGGGAATGGTGTACAGTTTATACAAGGACCTCAGAGAATTTTAAAATTTTATATGAGGACAAAGACTTCACATGCATTCTTTAAGTAGTTCTACAAGGCCAATAATTATCCTGGACTGGCCTTCATCTTTGAGGGACTTGCTGCTACTCCTTTTCCAGTCTCCCACCTGCTGCCAAAACACCCTTTTAATTAT